ATCTTTGATGCGTCTTGGGCTTACACTGGTCCTCCTCCTCCTCTTCGCCCTCCTCCTCCTCCTCCTCCTCCTCTTCGCCTCTCCTCTTCCTTCTCCGCCTCCACCTTCTCATCCTTCGCCTCCTCCGTATCCCCTTATCCCGCCCCCTCTCCTCCTCCGCACTCGCCTACTACGCCTCCTCCTCCTCCAACTCCTCCCTCACAAGCGCTGCCTTATTTACCTCTTCGCCTTCACACGAGGAAGCATGGACGATTACTTCCACGCAAGGGGACTGGACCGGCGAAGTGCGAGTTGATGCTTCGATCTTTCAGCGAGCTGAGCGCCCAATAACGCCAATCGTAGTCGCTGCGGAAAAGACCAGCGACTGCACAACACGCGACACCCACCCACGTACATGCATCACCGGCCGTTCAAACCTGGTGATACTCGACTCTCAACGCGCAAGCATCATTGAAGATCGGCGTGCGTCACCTCCCTGACTACACAGTGGGGTCAACAGCGCTATATGCGCCATCTCCCCCCCTCTGCCTCTCCCCTCCCCCCCCCCTACTCCTGCCCCTCCCTTCAAAGCTCCTCTCCCCTCCCTGTACCTCCCTCCCCTTCCCCTTCCCCTTTCGCGCCCCCATCCCCTTCCCCCCCTGTATCTCCCCCTCCCCTTCCCCTTCCCTTCCCTTCCCCTTTCCCCCTCCCCTTCCGCTTCCCTTCTCCTCGCCCCTTTCCCCCTCCCCTTCCCCTTCCCCCTCCCCGTACCTCCCTCCCCTTCCCCTTCCGCGCCCCCTATCCCCTCCCATTCCCTCCCCTTCCCCCGTCCCACCCCCTCACATCCTGCCGATCCTCCCCCCGTCCCTTACCCCCCCCCCCGTGTGCTTCCCCTGCAAGAATATGCGCCCCTGTTGGCACGGCAATGCCAGAGCATCCACCCCGCCCTCCTCCCACTCCTCGTTTTCTCTCCTTTCCTCCATCCGCCCTTCTCCCCTGCCCTGCTTCCCCTCACGCCCCCTCCCTCTTTCTCCCTTCCTGTTCCGTCCGCCTGACCCTCTGAGAAGGAGGAGGAGGAGGAGGAGGAGGAGGAGGAGGAGGAGGAGGAGCGGGGTGACGAGCAGGGGGAGGGGGTGGAGGAGGAGGGGGAGGAGGAGGAGGAGGAGGAGGAGGAGGAGGAGGAGGAGGAGGAGGAGGAGGAGGAGGAGGAGAAGTGAGCAGGCGCCGCGGAAGCTCGCCCCCGGCCGCTGCAGCGAAAGCGGCAGATGCCCGAGAAGGGCCCGGCCGCGAGCGAGGGGCGAGGCCAGGCGCGAGGAGCGGCCGCCGCGCGGGAGGGAGAGCCGCGAGGTCGAGAGGCGAGGCGAGCGGGAGGCCGCTCCGAGGGCCAGCGCCGAGGCCGCAGGGCGCCCCCTCCCCCCCCGCTCCGCCCCCGTCGTGTCCATGGGCTCGGCCGGCAAGGGCGGGCCCCACGGGCGCAGAGGGGCCGCGTGCAGGAGGATGGGCGGGGGAGGGGAGGCGGGCGGAGGCGGGGAGGCGGGGAGGAGGGGGGGAGGGGAGGAGGGGAGGGGACAAGTTAGGTGCGCTCGCGTCAACATCTGACATCCTACCCCTCCCTCCCATCCCTTACCATGGCGCTGATTTTCTCTATCCGCGGACGCGTGTCGTAGCGGACCTGTGGCTCCGCGCGCGTGTGCGTAGTGGGTGGTGGTGCGCGTGCGTGCGTGCGTGCGTGTGTGCGTGGTTTTGGTTGTTGTGGTGGTGGTCTGTGTGTGTGTGTGCGTGTGTGCGCGTGTGCGTGTGTGTGCGTGTGTGTGTGTGTGTGTGTGTGTGTGTGTGTGTGTGTGTGTGTGTGTGTGTGTGTGTCTGTGTGTGTGCGTGCGTGCGTGCGTGCGTGCGTGCGTGCGTGCGTGCGTGCGTGCGTGCGTGCGTGCGTGCGTGCGTGCGTGTTTGTGTGTGCGGAGCGTGGTGATGTGGTGTGACGCGGTGTAGCGTGGTGGGGTGGGTGGGTTAGTGCGGTGGTGGTGGCGTGCGTGGGTGGTGGTGCGCGTGCGTGCGTGCGTGCGTTGGTGGGTGGAAGTGGCGGGTGGTCGCGTGCGGCGGGGCGGGGCGTGTGCGGCGCGGTGGTGGCGGGCGGATGGGCGCGCGAGAAAGAGGCCCGGCGCTGGGGCGAAGAACGCCATCTCAACGGGACGGAGGCAAACACCGATCCGAAAATGAGGCCCACGCTGCAGCGGGAGCACGATTCGGAACGATTCGGGAGCAGAAATGAGGCCGGCGCCTCAGCGAGAGCAGCATTTTGAAAAAAAACGCATGCGAAAACCCAACTCCCAGGAATCCTGTGTAAAAAAACAGTTCGCGGGGGGGGGCGGCTACTCCCAGCACGCCATCAGGGGAAGAGGGAGAGTAGTATTCGTATTGAGTAATTGTGGAGGGGGGGGGAGGGAGGAGAGGGGGAGGAGGCCCAGGGGTAGGAGGAGGGCCAGCATGGGGCCAGGGCGTGCGGCCGAAGAGAAAGAAGAGGCAGAGGCGGACTTGTTTCACGGCGAGTGGTCCTCCAGGAACTCCAAGATAGTCCTCATAAAATTGTGTGTGTGTGTGTGTGTGTGTCCACGCGTTGTCTTACCATCGATGGTTCCTGCCAGGGTGTGCGCCTAGACTTGAGTGAACAATGCTCGATGGACAGAGCCTGGCGGCGAGTATGGCCAACGATTCCATAGAGCATAGAGCATCAACTGGCAGCACATATGCGCACCATGGCACAACAGAGTACAAGCCGCTTCAGGGGCGCAGCTGCAGCGGCGCAGGCCGACGCCGGCTGCGGCGACGGGGCAGCAGCGACAGGCAGGGGGCGGCCCGCGAGAGGAGAGGGAAAGGAGAGGGCATGGGAAACCTCACGGCAGAAAACGTGGCAGGGGAGTAGAGCGGTCTGCCTGGGGGGCTCCCGATTGCTCTGCCCAGCACGCAGTGATAGACGCCATCAGCATCGGCGCTGAACTCGCGCTAAACGTGAAGCACCATGACCTCCAGAACGCCTGCGGTCTCTCGCAGGTGTGTCAGAATGGATGAGAAAGAGAACGAAGAGAAGGATGAAGGCGACGAGGAGGAGAGCGAGGAGGAGGAGGAGGAGGAGGAGGAGGAGGAGGAGGAGGAGGAGGAGGAGGAGGAGGAGGAGACGAGGAGGGGGAGGATGACGAGGACGCGGGCGAGGAGGACGAACAGGAGCGGAGAAGCGGCGGCAGTATGGCCTTGATGACCGCGACGCCGCCGCTGAGCTTGGCCAGCCGCTCCTTCATCTTGTCCTTCTCGTACTCCGACGTCGAGGCCTCGGCACAGCAGGGGAAGAACGCCAGGATGAGGAGGAGGAGGCGAGGAGGAGGAGGAGGAGGAGGAGAGGAGGAGGAGGAGGAAGGAGTAGGAGGAGAGTAGGAGGAGAGGAAAGGAGGAGGAGGAGGAGGATGGAGGAGGAGGAGAGAGGGTAGGAGGAGGAAGGGATGGGGAAAGGCAGGAGACGCAAGGAGGGGGAGTCGAAGGCAGGGATGAGGACAGCGGGAAGGAGAGGTAAGGAGGGGCAGGGGGAGGGGCAGGGCGAGAAGTGGGTAGGGGGGGGGAGGGAGGAGGGAGGAGGAGGAGCGAGTGATAGGAGGAGGAGTAGAGGAGGAGGAGGCAGGATGGAGGAGGTAGCAGGGGCAGTGAGGGAGGAGGAGGAGGGGAGGAGGATGTGGAGGAAGAGGAGAAAAGGAGGAGGAGGGAGGTAGGAGGAGGAGGAAAAAGGAGGAGGAGGACAGCGCAGGGCGGGAAAGTGAATACGGGGAGTGGCGCACGATATGGGGGGGAGGGGGAAGGGTGAGGGATAGGATGGGTGTGTAACAGTGGATTTCTGGAGGTATCGGCAGGGCTGGTAGCTAGTGAATTTTATGGGTGGAATTGTGCGCGGGGGAAAGCGATAGAAGGTGGATAAGACTAACCCCCTCCGTCCTCCTCCTCCTCCTCCTCCTCCTCCTCCTCCTTGTCCTTCTCGTACTCCTCGTTCTTGTTCTCCCCCGCGGAAGCTCGAACAAATTGTATTCCAAATAGGCCAGGCTCGTGCACAATCAAATCCGCCGACCCCGGAGGCGTGTGAGATTCAGCTCGTCCAGGGATCTTCTCACTCCCAGCCGGGACCCACCCACCACCCCTAGCACCGCCAGCCTTCTCGAGCCTCTGGGCACAAGTTCTGAGGCAAACATCGCGCCGGGAACCCCCCGCCACCCGTACCACCGCCAGTATCCTCGAGCCTCTGCGCATAGTTTCTACGGGGCCACCCGCCTAGCAAAAATTGCGCCGGGACCCCCCCGGCCATCCCACACACCCAGCAAAAACCGCGCCGGCACCTCCTCACCACCCCTCACACCGCCAGCTGCCCGGAGCCTCTGGGCACAGGTTCATCAGGGCCACCCACCCAACAAAAACCGCGCTGGCATTTCCACCACGCCTGACACCGCCAGCTTCCTGGAGCCTCTGGGCAAAGGTTCTTCGGGGCCACCCACCCAGCAAAAACCGCGCCGAACCCCCACCACCCCTGACACCGCCAGCTTCCTAGAGCCTCTGGGCACAGACTCTTCGGGGCCACCCACCTCCCTGTGGTCCCTCAGCTCTTGTTTTAAGAGATGGAAATTTTCGTCTCTTGATGCAAGAGACGGTTATTCATGAAGCACGCGTTGGGTACCCCGTGATAGCTCAATAGAGCGTTATCATTGACGCGGTGCTGGCGGCATAATAGAGGTGGTGCCGCTGAGCTCAAAATTGATTGAGCCAGCAACCGATGAGGAAAACGGTGGACACGCGCCGCCGCTTCCTAGGCAGGTACACGCCACCAGTCTCAGGCGAGGCGGCGCCACGAAGTTTTAGCCAAAATGGCTCGGAGGAGTTGAAGGAGGAGGAAGGGGGGGAGGAGGGGAGGGAGGAGGAACCTTCTTGGCTCCATCTTGGGGCCGTCTTAGGGCCCTCTCGGGCCGCCTTGCGCGCCTCTGGCGCCGTCTTTTTTGTCACAGGAAACACTCCTCTGCATATTGGGTGACCGTGGAAACAGCAGGAAGAGCTCGCCGGAAGGCGCCAGAAAGAGCTGGCCTATCCGCTGCAGCAGCATGCGCGTAGGCACCCACGCAGAGGAGGCATACGGACGTAGTGCAGAAAGGGAAGCCTCGGCATACACTACGCGGTTGGACGAGCTCCGAATCGAAACTGCAAAGGCGACTAGATCACCTCCAACGTAGGAAGCGGGATATCGAGATCGAAGAGACATCTGGGATGGTGAAGGGGCGGCGCCACTCCGTCAAGGGAGACGGGAGGACGGCTGCGCTTTTAAGTGGTCTGGCTGCCAGAGCATCATTAAAAGGTGAACTGTGTGCCCAACCGAAAAACGCTCCACAGTGCCGCAAGCTGGTACTAGAGCGTTTCGGATCACTCCTCCCCACCACACCAACCTCACCCTTGGCCACTGGCATTTCTCTCCAGCTTTGAAGCTGCTCCGAAAGGGCGACAAAAACTGGCGACTGGTGACGCCGATCTGAAACTGCAGAAGTAAGTCATGATTATATTGTATTGGTTCGCGCGTGCGTTGCGGCCCCCCTCCCCAACCTCCCGCTTTGAAACTGGAATTGTTCTCCAGCTTTGAAACTGCTCCGAAGAGGCAACATAAACTGGCGACTGGTGGCACCGATGTGGCGATTGCCACCTACGGCGACAGAAGCCGACTCCTGAGAGCTGCAACACATAAGACCGCACAGACGCGACACCCTCGTCCCACCGAACCTGGCCCATCCCGTCCCAATGTCTCACATGACCCACAGCACCGCCCCTGATGACACTTTGAACGGCCGGCAGCAAACGCGAACCCTGGCTGTTGTCACACTGCCAAGGCGGAGTTGACTGCCAAGGCCATGTCCGCACCCTCTGAGCAGCCAGTGCTTGCTCATGATTCAGGACGAAGTGTGTCACCCACAGGTTACTGCGTCGTTCAAGCCAGTGCTGAACAATACGAGATTATCATAGCACCTGTCTCTGAACATCTGCTGGCGAAAGAACGCGCTCGAGCGTGAAAGGATGCCAGGTCCGCTACACAAATAAACAGCGGCTGGCTACTACGACTACGACTATGACTACGACGACGACTACTAATACTACTACTA